ACACAGCACAAGATATTTTGCTATGTAATCAGGCTTGCCATTCCTTGGTTTGGTCGTTTGAATGAGAAATTTCCACCATGCCAGTATTTGAATAATTGGTCCCCTGCTGATGGCACTATTTGGGGGTGGTTTAGGAGTTGAGGCCTTGCTGGAAGAGGTATATCACTGGGGGTGGGCTTCGAGGTTAGATAGTTGTTGGGACTAATGAGTCCTGGCCTTCAGGTGCTCTTCCCTCCTAGAACCTTCTAATTGAAGTTACTAGAAGCTGTGCCTAGCTTAGAGGATCAGAGGATGGGATTTTCACCCGTTGGCCATTGACTGCAGTATATTTAAGCCTGCATGTTGCTAATAAAGAGGGGCTTTTGGTACCAGTGTTGGAAGGTCTGTGTCGGTCTGTCTCTGCATGTGTATCTTCAACCTCTAGCTCCTTGCTGGAAGCTCCTGAACTGGATTCTAGGGCATAGAGCGCAGACGGGGGCCGTGGTGTGCGGCAGATAGTCACACCCCATTTCCAGGATGTGAGTGCTTAGCCTCCTGTCACCAGGTCTGCTGGTTGCTATGTTTCCCTATTGTGATGGACTCCTTGCTCTGAAACCATAACCTCAAATGAGCTCGCTCTTGTACAAGTTGCCTTGGTCATAGTATGTATCAGAGCAACAAGAAAGGAACTAAAACACTGAGTGTGTTACCGGGGCCAGTGAATATTTTCCGAGAGAAACCAGACAGTAAATGTAGGATCTGAAGGTTATACGCAGCTAATTGGACTTTGAGTGTTGGGGATACAGGGCCTTGAGCCACAGATCTCTAGAGAAACCAGGAATTTTAAGCATGCAGGATTCTCTTCCCAATGAGAAAGATGTAAAAAAAAAAAAAAAAACAAAACCAAAAACCAAAACCAAAACAAACAAAAAACTGTTCTTTCATCTAGAAAGCTGGGAATTGGAGGTGGTTAATAACCCTTTGCTCTGTGTTATCTGTTGGGATAGGGCATACCCAGATCCTAATACCAGGACCCGATGTGGCTAGTAATCTAAATGGCCCTTACAGCTCTCCCACAATGAGGACCAGAGATTCCTAATAGTCTAAATGATTCTTGTAGTCAGAGGCCACCCTGAGCTCCCACAACCAGGACCAGAGGTGGCTAATAGTTCAAGTGATCTCTATGCTATCTATATGACCGACACAGGACCAGACCCTTCCTTAGGCCTGTAAGCTAGTATAGGCAACCTGTCAGTAGAATCCATCTTGGAAGAAATGACATATGCCCTGAGTTAAGGGTCAATGTAATTACTCTTTCTTGTGCACTGGGGATCATATTACACCAGGAACATTTTCCCCAGATTGCACTGAGTTTTAAGTATGCCGAAAATGACACACCTGGTTTTACACTCTTTAGAAGTCTTGTTCCAGGTGGATGAAGTCAATCTGGGCTGAGTTTTCATTCTCATCTCTTCACGCCATTCACTTCCCTGCCTGACACCTGTGGGCACCCCCTCCTTGGGAGAAAAAGGTAGCCATAGTTGGGAGGAAGAGTGTCTGTGAGCCAATAACACTCCACTTTTAGACTCTGAAATGTGGTGTGCCCGAAAATGTCCTCATGTTTTTCAACTATTCAAAAAAACACCCTTGTGTTGTTGGAGGTACAGAAACAAGTGGCATGTAGGATCTGGCAAGTCCAGCCTTATAGTTTGTATCTGTGTTCCTGCTTTAGTTTGGTGGCATAAAGTATTTCATTCCCTAGATTGCAAGAGCATTTAAAACAAGTCTTAATCGTTTTTTAAATTATTTTCTGTGTATGGATGCTTTTCCTGCATGCATGTCGGTGTATCATCTGTGTGCCTAGTGCTCGCAGAAGTCAGAAGAGGGCATTGAGTCGCCTGTTGTGAGCCATTAGGGCTGGGAATTGAACTCTCGTCCTCTGGAAAAGCTCTTACCTGCTGAGCCATCTCTTCAGGGACTAACAGTGAATGTCATCAAAACACTTTAAAACATGGTAATGTTGGGGCTGGAGGGATGGCTCAGTGGTTAAGAGCATTGCCTGCTCTTCCAAAGGTCCTGAGTTCAATTCCCGGCAACCACATGGTGGCTCACAACCATCTGGAATGAGGTCTGGTGCTTTCTTCTGGACTGCAGACATACACACAGACAGAATATTGTATACATAATAAATAAATAAATATTTTTAAAAAAACATGGTAATGGCCGGGCGGTGGTGGCGCACGCCTTTAATCCCAGCACTTGGGAGGCAGAGGCAGGCGGATCTCTGTGAGTTCGAGACCAGCTTGGTCTACAAGAGCTAGTTCCAGGACAGGCTCCAAAACCACAGAGAAACCCTGTCTCGAAAAACAAAAAAAAAAAAAAAAAAAAAAAAAAAAAAAAAAAACCAAACATGGTAATGCCTGTCTTTAGCCGTCTTTAGAAACTGTAGCTGTTGGGATTATTTGGTCTATGTGTAGCAAGCCCAGTCTAAATGATTGACAATTGTATGGAACGGTGAAATACAGGCTTAGTTACAAACATTGCTGCTCTACTCACTCAGCCGTCAGTGCGCGTTTCTTATTTTCCTGTTCTGTTACTCTCATTTTCAGTAAGGAATGATGCTTGACTCATGGTTACAAGACAGCGGTAGTAGCCCCAGACATCACATGCAGATATGTGACATCCAACAAAGACTTAAGAATGCTTCATGTGCTTTGTGCATTTGTATTGGATTTTATGTGTGCATGCATGTGTGGGGGGGGTGCTTGTATATTTACATGCATTTCAAGGCTGAAGTTTAACATTGGGTGACTTCTTTAATTACTCTGTATATTATTACTATTATTAGAAGTATTAGTATTATTGAGACAGTCTCTTACTGAAACCAGACTTCACCAATTAGAGTAAACTATCTGGCTAACAAGCCCAAGAGAGCCCCTGCTTTCTGCCTCTCCATTGCTGGCAGACTACTGATTACCTGGCTTTTTAATGTGTGTTCTTGGCAATCAAACTGAGGCCCGTATGCTTGCCTGGCAAACATGTTACTGACTGAGGCTTCTCCTCAACTGGGTGGTAAGATCCCTACTGTACTTGTTTATTTCCTTCATTAGAATTTTTTTTTTTTTTTTTTTTTTGGTTTTTCGAGACAGGGTTTCTCTGTGGCTTTGGAGTCTGTCCTGGAACTAGCTCTGTAGACCAGGCTGGTCTTGAACTCACAGAGATCCGCCTGCCTCTGCCTCCCGAGTGCTGGGATTAAAGGCGTGCGCCACCATCACCCGGAGAATTTTTATTACAAGAAATTTCCCAGCTGGGCGTTGGTGGAGCTCACCTTTAATCTCATTACTTGGGAGGCAGAGGCAGGTGGATCTCTAGGAGCTTGAGACCTGCCTGGTCATCAGAGCCAGTTCCAGGACAGGCTTCGATGCTACAGAGAAACCTTGTCTTGAAAAACAAACAAACAAACAAACAAACACAAAACAAAAACAAAAATCCCTAAAAGAAATTCTATTGATTTTCCACCTTTGTAGGTTATATTTGCTTTAGTTTTCTGAGCTAAAACCATTCTTATCAGATTACATTTTAAAAGAAAAGTACCCTATTTTTGCTTACTTTGTTTTCCTACAATCTACAACATTGGCAAATATGGCATAAAAATGTCAAAAAGATAAAAGCTGCACTGTTTTAATCATCTGTGCTCATCAAAGCATTGTCTAGTTTATATTGTAAAAACAGCAAAAGTTGTTTTTAAGAAAGTATATTAGTAAGATTTGAAGAATTATGTAATACACACACACACACACACACACACACACACACCAACACCAAAGCCTACTTTGTTATCTCCATGGCTGTTGGCGATCCACCTCCCAGTTGGGAACACTTACCTCTACTTCTCCATTTGAAAACCATCAAGGCAGATTGCTATGAACCCCAAACTAGCCTACAGTGAGAGCCCCAAACCCATGAGGAGTGTGGGCTGAAGTCCCACCTGAATGAGATCTGGGGGTAAACATCTCCGGCTGCAGAAGCACTCCTTGTCAGGACACAGAGGCCACGCTTCTGGTCACAGTTCTGCCTTTACAGGGCTATTACATCGGACAGTGGCTTAGCTCTAGCTTCAATGTCTGTAAAGCTAGGGTTGTGATTTTGTGGTTTATGAGGTTTCTGTTAGGGGCAAACCTGTTCTATTTAAGTATGTGACCCCAAGTTTTTGAGCTTTATTTTCAATGACGAAAACTACAACAGAGTCAATTATGGTATTCTAGTGCAATACAGTAGCACTACAGGATATGAAAACGACGTAGCATAAAAATAGTAAGACAATGCAAGACTATAGTAACTGTCACTTCTCCATAGCATTGGTGTCCTGGGAGACATTCTGATGGAACCCAGACAAATTCCATTCCTACTCCAGAAACTGAACCAGAGGGCAGATATGAGTGCTATATAGAAAGGAAATAATGCTAGAAAGGGTTATTTTTTAACTAAAATATTTGCAAACCTATATTTCCATTTATATTGAAACACAGACCATGACTCTTTACAATTTACTCTAAAGCTCTAGAGATGTCTTCTGTTGCTTCTAGAACTCTTTCTTGAAATGATCAGAGAAGTAAAGCTAGAAGACTCTGCAAAACTGGTTTAGGAGAACAAATTTCATGTGGCAGCAAAAGCAGTGGCCGTTAGCTGGCCTGGCCTTTTCCCCCTGGCTGCTCAGAACCATCCTTAGTTTAGGAACTCACCTAGTCATTCAGCTGTTCATTTCCCTCTCAACACTGAACTTTTCCACTTCTCTAAGGGGTGTTGTTGACTTAGGGGGTTCAGTTATGTCTAAGAACCTGGGGGTCTCTTGCCTAAGGAACTGGGATGTAGTTCTGTTTCATACTCAGAAAACAGCCTAAGGGTAGGGCGGCAACGAGTCGCAGCTTCTTGGGTCTGGACGGCCTTTTCTCCTGCACGTCTGTAAAGATTGGCAGCGTGTTTTAGAGGGTTTCCGGAAGATTTAACTTTTGCTCCTCCGGTCAGGGTGACTCTTCTTTATTCTGAGGCAGTGTGTCCAGGACCTCTTTCCCAGGCGGGTTCCCCATGGCTTCTTCGTAGGAGGGTGGCAGGCAGGTCACGTGCAGAGTCCCAGAGACTGGCAGTGGGGAGTAGGGGACACTCTGCTCGCTGCCCCAAGGCAGACTGGGCAAGAAGTCGGTCACCTCTCCGGAAGTGGGCTCTGGGAGGTCGATGCTGAACACCTGGCCTTGGACCTGTCGGGCCTGGCAGCGTCGGTACAGGAAGAGCAGCAGGAAGGCCAGGAAAAGCATGATGGTGGCCGGAAGCAGGATGCACAGGAAAGGCTCCACATCCGCCTGGGCGGAACTCACCTGCTGGGTGCCCTGCAGTTAGCAATGAGATGAGACAGAAGAGGAGGGAAGGTGGGTCTCGTGAGTATACCCAGGGACCCCTAGGTGAAATAAAGTGAATGACACACCAAAGTGTATATTCAGAATATCCAAGCACACATTGACATCGAAGTTAAAAATGTTAGAATATCTTTATTTTGGTAAGTCCCACCTATTATTTTCATTGGGAACCCTTATCACTTAAATGCTTACTTTGTTTAAAATTAGGCCAACAGTGTTTTATTGGCACAGATGACTTACATAACGGTTCATCTTTAATTCTGGAACAAAAATCTCACATGGTTATAAGTTCGTACCACATGTAAATAATTAATGAGTTTGGGTTTCATAGCTGCACTTAGAGTTATAATTAATCCCGATTATGTAATATTGGTATGACCAACAGAATTGAAAGTTTATTGATCTATATATTTTTATTTTTGTAGGAGATGTTGAGACAGTCTTGCTATGGTTGGCTTTGAACTTGTAGAGATTCTCTTTGCCTCTGACCCCTGGCTGCTGGGATCATAGGTATACACCACTACCTGTGACTTGAAAGTTTCTGAAATTTTTAAGAAAAAAAGAACTTACACATAATCCAATATGGTGATTCAAATCTGTAATCCCAGCATTGGGGAGGGAAGGGGTGAAGGGAGAGGAGTCCGATGAGCCTACCCTTTGCTGCACAGTGAGTTTGAGATCAGCCCAGGGTACATGAGTGAAAACAAGCAAATCACATGAAAATTCTCATACAACCCAAAGGGTTTTAATTTTACAGTGTTAGCTCACAAGAATAATAATGGTTCCTGATGGGGTAAATAATGTCACGAACTGATGCTTCAATAGCAGAGTTGAAATACAAGCTAAAAATGCTGTTGTAATTGCATGTATACTGTTTTAAGATCAGTTACTAAGGGGCTGGAGAGATGGCTCAGTGGTTAAGAGCACTGCCTGCTCTTCCAATGGTTCTGAGTTCAATTCCCAGCAACCACATGGTGGCTCATAACCATCTGTAGTGAGGTGCCCTCTTCTGGCCTTCAGGCATACACGCAGAGAAAATATTATATACATAATAAATAATTGTTTTAAAAAAAGATCAGTTACTAAGGATGCATTTCAAAGTCTGTGTATTATATAAATAAAACACAATGTAAAAATGCAAATATCTGTGACCATGGGAAAGGAAATATTTTAGAGGTGAAAAGAATGTGATGATGATAAATAATAATAATAATAATAGAGGCTAAAGAGATGGCTCAGAGATTATGAGCACTCACTGCTCTTCCCGAGGTTCCGAGTTCAATTCCCAGTAACCACTTAGAGGCTCACAACCATCTATAATTAGATCTGATGCCCTCTTCTGGTATGCAGGCAAAATGTGCAGACAGAACACTGTACACATAATAAATAAGCAAATCTTTAAGAATAAATAAAGGAAGAAAAAGATAGGAGGAACGAAAGTAAAATGAAAACAAAATAAGGCAATGAGATAGCAAGTTCACTGCATAGGAATAGTGAGCATAGACGCTGCCTCGAGAGTTGTTGCCCTCCTCCTCACTCTTACTGTTGGACTTCTGTATGATTTTGATGGAATTGACAGGACAACTGACTCATCTTGCTTTGTGTGGATAATCTTTCCTTATTCCCTAAAGGCTTTACAATGTGTGTTTTCTGGCTCAGAGTTAGATGTTGGTTCTGTGCTTACACTGCCATATTTTTTTATTCTTGGTAATACATGAATTCGGAACTTTTACCTCAAGGAAACTAGAAAGCCAAACCCTTCATAAGAAACAGAGCAGCTGTGGTCTTTGAGTTTTGACAGCTATCATTTTTGAAATCCCTCTCCTCTGTGACCATGGAGAACACTTACCCTCTCTGGATGTGAGTTTTCTCCTCTTGGTAATGGAAATAATGGTGTCTGATTTTGAGGATTACCAAAAGAACAAAGTGAATTAATGTGTTTAAAGATCTCAGAGAATGGTGAGTCTTTATCTTCATGTTTCAACGGTCTCAAATTTTCTAACAGTAAAATACTAAAGACAGCTGGGTAGTGGTAGCACACACCTTTAATCCTAGTGCTTGGGACACAGATGCGTGAGGATCTCTGTGAATTCAAGGCCAGCCTGGTCTACAAAGTCAGTTCCAGGACAACCAGGGCTACACAGAGAAACTCTGTTTCAAAAAAAATAAATCCTAAGATTAAAAAGAAAACAGAAAAAAACCCTAGAAATTGTGTTAATAAGGCTAGAAAGTAAGGTGAGCATAAAACATAGTACTACTAAATTCATATTTAATGTGTATATGTATATATTCAATAGAAATTAGTAATATATTTTGTGGTTGATTGATATTTTTAAACTAGAGAAGTTTTTGTTTTCTCACATGTAATCTAGTTTAATATCGGAATAATGTACTTAATATCTATTGAGACATTTTATGGACCTTTTGGTTGTAAAAGCATAAAAAGTCATAAAACAATAAAGAATCCATTGACATAACAAATCAAATTTGAGTAAAGAAGAAATTTAACTATAATTTGTTTTCTCTTTCTAGTTTAATCATTAATATGTTAAAGCTACCATCCTTTTTAAAATAATAATCACCCTAAAAAACACAGATCTTTTTTTGCAAAGTATTTTTAAATTTATTTTATATTAATAACAGATGATAATGCTTTCTGGTCTACTATGGTCATCAAATTTTAAATTCTCTATAATACTTGATAAATTTAATATGCACTGGATACAAAGATACTTAACATTCTATTTAAAAGGTTTGTCATAGATGCTGCTGCTTACAATGATGATACCTTTAGTATTATCACTATTAGTTGCAAAAAATGAGAAAGAAAAAATAATACAGCCCTAAATGAAATCATTATTACTGTTAGTTACTTTTGTGCAAATGCTAAATAGTATTAGAAGTGTTCTTGTTTTGCTCTATTATTTATCATTCAGAGTACTGCAACCTCTTGAGACAAAGTACTTTATTTTTCCAGTTAAGAAAAATTTCAGAGCTATAGGTCAAATGCATTATAGCACTTTTAATTTCCTTATTTGATTATTCATGCTGTGATGGCTGAAATTATTATTAATATAGAAAAGTTATTATTCCTTAATATAGAAAAGTTATTATTCCTGCTCAAAGCCTCTAAAATTATTTCCTGTGCTCAAAGTTGTTAATTTCTAATAATTTTCTGATGTCTGTGCTTACTCAAGGGACATTTTAGGAAAATTCTGAGTTCAAGCTATAGCATGGGAAGGATCTATCTTTTTATTCACTAGTATGTATTTTCTATGAATACAGGTTTAGGAGATTTTAAACACCAATCTCTCCAGTTTTCTAGAAAATGAGAAAATAAGTTCATTTCCATTTCTTGTGTGGTCAACCTGCTATCATTTACCCTCTAATTTTATAGCATCTTTGTTCTTAGATTTCTATATTTCTTTTCTTTAATGCTGCTCAAGATTGATACTCCTTGGTGGTTTGCCAGACAACTCGAAGCAGCTGCTGTATTTCTTAGTGAAAGAGAAAACTTCCTCAATCCCCTGCTCTCCTTCCTGAAGATGCTCGGTTTCTGTGAACTGTTAGGCACGGCACTCACTAGGCAACTGGGAAGAACAGCCTAAACCTCTTAGTCTTGTATTTAGCATCTAGACATTGCATGCTGAACAAAGAACACAGCTACAACACATTAATAAAAAGCTCTTGGTTTCTAGCCTCAGGTGTTCTTTGATCTATAATTGATAGAACAAATATTCCGATACATTCATTGTTGCCAACCCCGTCCCCCAGCTCTCACGTATTTCCTACAGATTGCTAATCACAGAACTCAAATTCTTATTATATCAGTTTAATACTCTGCGTGTCCACTAAGTTTTAAAATACAGGCATTGTTGGGTTAAAGAGCTAAGTAACATACTTCAGGGGGAAAAATGGCTGAATCCAGAGATACAGACCTGCAGTTGGGTCTCCAGAAGTGGCAGGCTGGGTTCGCTGGTTAGCCACTCGTACGTCCCCCTGCCAGCATGGCCAAACTTTCTCCAGCTGCTGCCCAGCAGTCCCCTCATGTTCCTTCCACCCGGCTGCCCAGATACCACAATGCTGCTTGCTCTTGGCTTGGATTCAGGGTGGGTGTGTTGGTAAACCTGCCTTCTGATGAGTGGCAAGAGGAAAAATAATCCAAGCCGAGGGACTTCTCTGGACTGGGTTAAAACTCAGTGCTTTTCGGTGGGTTTTGTGGCCTTTCTCACCAGAAGGGTCGCAAAATGTTCTTAGAAATGGCAAAGATTCCAGGTGAGTTCCGTGCATTGCGCCCTTAGAAAGTGTGGATTCATGCTCTCTGTGTATAAAGAGCTGTTCATATTTAGACGTGACTAAGACCCACCTCCTTCCCTGACCATTTTCTTCTCAGAGCCACATCTGATCAAACAAAACCACACAGGCTGAATTATCCTCAATGGTTCCTGGATTCCATCGTACGAAACAGCAAAGAGGTATTTGGTAGAGAATCAAGGACCATTAATAATTCTTTACTGAATTATTTATATGAAAGATGCCTAATGATAAAATTGTACAGAAGCCAGACGGACAATAGCTTAGATTGTTTGGATACGATGTTTGCTGATTTCATTTTTTTAAAATTGAATTACCAGTATCTAAATAGTCTTCCTTCTGGTTTTCTTGTAAACTTTATACAAACACTGATAGCAAGCTTCAGATAAGAGGCTTTCAGATTGATGTTTTCTAGGCTAACTTGGGGATATTTAATCACAAATGTGTGCTAATTAACATTTAAAACATTGTCTTAGCCTGCTTATGCTACTATAACAGAATAAGAGTGGGTAACTCATGATGAATAGAAGGTCAAATGTTATGGATCTGAAGTCAGGAGAGTCCAGTATCAAGGTGCTAGCATTTAGTATGTGGTGAGGAGATGCTTCACGTGTCCTCACATGCTGGATAATAAAAGGTCTGGTTAGTCATGTGATAACCCCTTCATAAGGATGTCAATCCTACTCATGAAGGAAACAGTATCACAGCCTGAAGACCTCTGAGGCCCCCCTCTCGATTCTATCACATTGGTAATACCTAAATTTGGAAGGGGGTACATTCAAGCCACAGCAGATGTGTTTGGGATGAAGTGACCGTCATAGATTGAAATATTTCTTAACTTGGATTTTTTTCTCCTTAATTAGAATTGTCATCTATTGGCCCATGGTGGGCTAAGGCTATGTTTCAGGGAGTTACATACTTAGAAATAGGTACAATTTGGCAGGGAGGACCCATAGTTACTACCAATATCTTTCTAAGACCACTGTCCTGCCTGACAGAACTCAGTCCTTGCCTAACTTCTGTGTGTTGTGAGTGTTTGCTAGGTTTTCCAGTGTTCTGTCAGTATCCTCGGATACAAGTCTTTCCTGCCTTATCCTTTTATTTTATTGTGCAATTAGCTTACTTTGTACCTTTAGTTAAGATGCTGCCTTGTTTGTTAACACATTATACCAGAAGCATCCAGCAACCTGTATCTTGTGTGACACTGTCCCTGGGGAGATGGGAACAAATGAGTACTCACCCCAGATAGGGAACTGATCACAAAGCAAAGTGGCTCTACCACCAAAGTCCAGCATGTGAACCAGTCCATTCCATTGGGTTAGGTACAAGAATAAGAGGGAAGGGTGAGTCATGGGAGCAGAGATGACAATGGTATCACCAGAGTCTACCTCAACATAGGTGACAGATCCTGAAACCTGGCCATCTGAACTGTACTGAACAACCTGTAGGCGACTTAATGGGTTAGAAAGTGTCCTTTGCAGCCAACTTTGGTTGTTCTTTGTCTAAACTTGTTCCAGGCAGGTTAGCTTGTCTGAAAGTGTCTATTAGCGGTCCTTCTTGTTTCTCTATTTTTGCCCCCAAGGGTCTATTGAATCTGGTCAGTTTTAGGGACTTCCTGAAGTCATTGAGTTGTCTACTTCCAGAGCTTGCCTGAAGAATGGAATGTTTTCCATCCCCCTTCGAGCAGTCTCTCTCACCATCCTGTAAACATCCTGTGTCGGAAAGAGCTTCCCTCTTCATCTCCCCTCTAACATCCTGTCTTAACCTAAGGAAGGAGCCAAGACAGAGAACAAAGATCACATGCTTGTGAAGGTGGCGGGTGTGTGTGTGTGTGAGAGAGAGTGTGTGTGATGGTTCTGTGGTGTTGTCTCAGGTCAAGAGGCAGACAATTAGCCAACCTGTGAAAGCCTATTGTGAAGCACAGGGTTTGTCTGCGAGGCAGATCAGATTTCAGTTTGAAGGGCGACCAATCAGTGAGACAGACACACCTGCACAGCCGGAAGTAGATGATGCAGGTATGACAGCCGGGTTCCAGTGACAGACAGGAAGTGTCCCCAAACAGAGAGCCTACTACTCTACTCCAGAATTTTGTTACAGATCATGGATGCATTCTCAATTAGAAAGCTGCAGTTTGATTTCTGACCCTTTATTGGATGTAAAGCAGCTGGTGAATTGCAAAATCCCTAATTGGCCAGAGTTCTGTTTTGGTTGACATCGAATGGAGCTGGTCTGGGAAGGCCCTGTTCTGTGAAATACCCGTCTCCCTTAGTGACATGCTCACTGGGCTCTTATCTTTATAGTCCAGTGAGTCTCTTTTTCTGTCATTGTTTCAGCTGAAGCACCCAACACCACAAAGCTCCTTGCGTACTTTGTTCGATTGGAGAATTCTTATGTTTTTTATCTGTGTAAAACCTAGGATGAGTTTATAAATGTTTTTGTATGTAGCTGTTACATTGCAGGGCAATCTCTGTTTTAAGAAGGGGCAAGTTATTCTTGAAAAGAAAACGAATCCAACTTTCTCCTTCAGGTCAATGTCTTGTTAAAATAAATTCTTGTTTAAAATGAAAAAAAAAATCCTTCTGTCTTAATCTCCCCTTAAAATTGTGTGTCTTAACAAGATTTTGCCAAGATGGAGGTTTTTCTCTTAGAGAAAACCGAAGGAGAACCCTGTATAGCAGGAAACGCTGTGTTAGCATGAGGTATATAATTTTAATTGGGCATGTTAACTAGGTGAGCCAAAGAGGACTTTTGATTGCTAGACTTCAATATTTTGATAGTTGGGCCTTGGTAGTGAATGGAGGTGAAGGGGAGAAACCCAGATGCCCTGGTGCTGAAAATAAAGGCTGGTTGAGGACCCAGCTCTAAGGCTGACATTTATAGCCCTGCCTTTAGGGCTCAGAGAACATGGTGGAAGAGGGGCCAAAAGAGGGTGAGAGTTGGTAGATGGGAAGAAGGGCTGTGGATGTCATCTTCTAAACACTTTAAAGCTTTGTCAAGTATGAACTCGCAGTAGCTGCGCCTACTGACACCAGCCCAACAGAAGTCAGGTCCATCCAACTGTCAGCTGTGGATGGAAAAGGGGGCTCAGGAGACCCCACCACTTACTGCTGAACTATCAGTAGCTGACAGATTCTGGGAGATGGAGTGGTGTAGTATCCAGGTGTGAACCACCAGGCTCTAAGGAATAGTTCCAAACCCACAGTCACACAGATGGCTTAGGTAAGTTCTGTGGGGCCCCAAACAAAGAGTCATGGATATGAGAAAGAGATTCATAGTGTAGAAGGGAGGCTGGCGGTGGTGGGAGGGAAATCAGGTAGGGCAGGGGACAGAGAGGAGCCAGTGGCATTATATACATGTATAAAATTGTCAAGGAGCAAAATTTATTTTTTTATAAAGCAACTTATAAATTTAATTTATAATTTTATAAATGTAATTAAATTAATAAATTTAAAACAATAAAATACATTTCTGCAAAATCAGAACAAGTTGACACATTATTAAGAAAACTCTCAGCAATTCACTCCTAAGGACTGAGGAAATATTTGGTAGGGCATTTAAACACATTTAAAGTAGTCGTAATAACAAAAACTTGAAATACTCAAATGTTTGTAAAATAGCTGGTGAATCAGATGTAAACATGAAGAGATATTTTTTCCTGAAAGCAAAGTCCAGAAAGGTGTAACATACTCATAGCACATCTGAGGGACCTTTGCGGGAATTACATATTTCATATAAAGTCGCTTGTCTCTGCATGCAGGACAAGTAATTGTTGGCAGGGGTGTAACTTAATTAGGAGAGCATGTGCTTAGCATTCAAAAGGCTCTGAGCTCAGTTTTAATCATAGAAAAGAAGGAAGAGGAGAAGAAAACGTAACATTTTCTTTTTGCTAATCGATAGAATTACAGGCATTTTATGAGACTGTGTATGGCTCTTTGTTTGCTGGTCTACATTTTATAATATTTGTATGGCTATGCAAAATACAAATAAGAGAATGATTCCAGCATTGCAGTTCCATATAAAAGCCACTCTGAGGTAATGTTCCATAATTTCCTGCCTATCATTTCTACCCAAATTAGAAGAAGGGGCTATTTCCTCTTCATTCTCGTAGCAGGATGCTTAATCTAATACCGGCATTTGAGTTATTTGAGTCAGCTTCATATTCTTTCTACAATAAATCACAGGATTGTTAGTTGATTTACACAAGGACTCATTGAGGAGACGCATACAACCCTGACCTCTGTTTCGATTCATGATTTGGTGAGCTGTGCTTAGCTGACAGAGCCAAGGGTCTGGATTTGCTGCAGCCTTTTATATGGTTGGATTTCAACTCTGAAATCTATGTGGATTTTAGTTATAAACAGGGTGGTGGTGGGTTTCTATTTTGTTTTCTTAATCTTCATAGCATATGCTTATTGTTAAATTTTTTACACCAAAAGGCAAAACATTTCCTTGTTTTTAAGTATATTTAAAATTTTAATTTTTACAGCTTCATACATGTATATAATTTATTTTGATCAGATCATACACACTTTCCCATTACCTTCTCATCCCTCCCACTCCTACTGAGCCCTCTTCTTCCCAGAAATCCCCCTACTTCAATCTTGGTGTGTATGACCAACTGAGTTTAATTAGTGTTGTTTTCATGAGCATGGGTGGCTAGTTATTTATTGAAGCATGAGCAATTCACTAGTGGCTACATCACTGAAGAAAATGATTCCCCTTCTAAAGCCAGTTGCTTCTCAGGGAACGGTG